TGCAGAAAATACGACTATTACTGATGAAATAAAGCGTATAGTTGCTGAGAAAAACGAAGCTGTAAATTCTGTCTTATACATTCTTATGCTCTTTGGTATCTATCACCCATTGTTTTCTTCATAAAATGGACGAACTTGAAAGCTTTCCTTCCACATATGATAAATATGTGACATAAATGAAAATATTTCAACAGAATACGCAACATAAAGTAAATCGAGTGCGGGTACAATTGGTACCATGATTCAGAAAGCAGAAGTAAGCCATGACTTTAGATGGTTAAAGTAGTGGCAATTCATGGACCTTTACTAAGAAGGGCCGGACCAATACATTTCTGACATTTAGCCTTAGGTGTTTAGTGTATTGGTTTCTATAGATACTACGTTTATTTATCTATAGATGACTGTGTTAACTATACAGGGTTGTCGATGCCTGTGAAATCAACCAACTAAGAAATGAGGTTTCAATAAGGCTCTCGTAAAAATGAGATAAATGCCAACACGTGTATTGGTTTCATACTTCATATTTATATCATACCTCTTCTCCAGTTTGAAAAATCAGATGATTTACTTCCTTTTTGCATAATGTTATGTTTTGCACACATGAGTTTTTTTTAAAGTTGACTTACAATTAAATATCAAGGAATCCACTCCTTTTGGGTAATTTTGGAGGATTAATTTTATGAGGGTTGAAGTTTATGTATTCTTACTTTTCACGAGAACGAATATCAATAGAATGATGAAAATAATTAAATTTGTTTTATTTTCAAAATTATGTATGTTTAATGAATAGTAAGTGATGGCCATGGTGTATAAAACCACTTGCCAAATAAGGATATGACGGTTTTCAAATCAGATTTGAATCATAAAACTCGAGACAGACATTAGTCAGACATGGGGTACCTGAGTTTATCTGAATAAAAAACATTTTAAATATCCAGGGTTACACCTGTGTATACAGCTTTTGTATCGAGACTATTCATGTCGGTAAAATATTTGTGTTGAATGTGAAATTCGACAAAATCCATTTTATTTTTTTTTAAACGTTGTTACCATGCGAGGCGGCTGTCTTTGTGTAGATATAGGGTTTAAAGCCCGTGTAACCGGGTACAATGAACTGTTTCTATAACGACAAAAATTCGATTATTGAAATTCAACCAAGCTAAAAAACCTTCAAATTAGGGGGCCTAAGGAGGGGACTCCGGACTGTACGCTGTGTTTTATATCTCAGGGAAATTAGGGATAAGAGTTATATAATTAAAATAAAACAAATAAGATTCCTGAAGCCAATAAAATATGAAAAGAATCATTTAAGAAATGACTGATAAAATCCAACTAATACTGTAAAGTTTTCAGTGAGCAGTGTTGACTAATGTATGAAATTTGAAGGAAAAAGTTTTTCCTTAATTAATTGACCTTTCTTTCCTTTTTCTCGTGTGATATTACACCTCCCACATTCTTCGATGTTCCTTGATCCACCACTTCCGTACATCACTTCTTGATTAACTTCTGAATGTACTTAGTACCGGTATGTCACATTGTGATGTTTAGAGTTAATTTTATTTTCTCCCTTTTGTCTCTCTATTTCCTTTTCTCTTTCATCGATTTTTTAAACACAAGAAGTATCAGTTAGTATTTGCTTTGTTTCTTTCCTCTGGCGGATATTTACATAAATTTCAGATGTTTGAATTCCAATGGAAGTCGTGTCTTTAAGCTTTTGAATTATTCAAGAGACTAATAAAAAAATAAAAATAAAGAATGCATGGATTGATATGAGAAAACGAAACAAAGGATTAAAACTCGCACCAGCTGTCGGTTCCAAGCAGAGAACAATGCCATCCAGAGAACGTATCTAAGAAAGCTTTTTAAAATCTTCATTTTCTTGATACACAAATGTATCTCTTAAGTTTTACAAGATGAAAGCATTGGTGTATAACATTGCCCTCCCGAGCGTCGAGGAACCCCCGCTCTTGCGTCGCGTGACACCAATAACAAACTCATCAAGGGTAGCGAATACTCGCCTTTTCCTTGTGTCTATAATTCAAAGAAGAGATCAAAATTCATCTCGTTCAAAATCGTCTCATTGTTGATGATCGTTATATATATATCTTCTAAATCAGGACGTGTATTGTGTACCCGCTGGATGTAAAGAGGCCCCTCGAGTGTGAGACTGTCTTACGTTATATGTGAACATTTTTCCTTTCTAAATCATTACGGGATTATAACTTGATGGCAATATGATTAGTCTTTGTCGTGGACAGGAAAATATTGAAAAATATGACTATTGTAAAAAATATAGAAAGGTAAGAAAACAGGGAAAGTTTTAATATATTATAAAGAATTCAGAAAGGTAGAGCCTATGCAGTTTTTTATGTTTTTATGTAACATTAAAAATACTTTTCTTCAGGATGAAAAGTGTTAATTAATAATTTTATATATCACAAACAATCACTTGTGAAATAGTTTATCCAATGGTACATATTTGAAATAGTTTAAACTCGGAAACTTAACTTCGTCGTTCTGTGTTCAAAATGAATCATAGTTTGGTAGTATACGTATATAACTCATGTTTGTTTTTATAATTTCCCAGATACTTATTTGCTAAATGATATGTCATATATACATATATCTATATATTGAAATATATTGGTTCTAATGCTTTATTCCGTATTGATTTAATTGATTTTAAATATTTTGGGTCTTTAGTGACAGACAACATATAGGCTGGGAAGAGTTATTCCGCTTTATACAGATGTGACTAAACTCGCCCAGATTCTGTTTTCTGTTCGAAAAAAAAAACTAAACAAATCTGTTTTTGCAGTTTAATATATAATTTTTTCCTAAACGTAAAAATAATTTTAAAAAATAATAATACTTGACGTTTTCAAGAAATGAATATTTCGAGTAATGAACATTTCATTTTATTTTTAATGTTACTTTCGGAAACGATGGAATAAATATAATCCGCAGTGTATATATCTACAGATGTGTATCTGACCAACAGGGGTCTGACTTTGTTCTTAAATGTTTATTGTTTTGTGATGGCATCTACATGTATTTAGCAAATAGATATACTACGGGAGGCCACTCTAATCTCCTTCGTACAGATACTGGAGTTATCTTCTGTGCTCTCTGCAGTAATCGATGGAACTCCTTTGATATTTTCCCACTGATAAGTTACTTTGCCATTATCATTTATCAACAACGTCAGAAATAAATGTCAGGAACATTAAACAGAATACCAGCTTAGCAAGTCTATACTCCCAAAATCTACTTAGCATTCTGATAATTCGAAATACATTTGGGTGACGACTCAACATCCCAAATGGACACGTTTGAGTTATCCGCAATGACAAAAATTTTAACGGAGTACAGTTCATTGTAAGGGCATTGGTTTTATTTGGATGAGCTCATTTTTGCACGACGTGAATACAAGTCCTCCAAATTTAGCTGTGCCTTGTCGCAACGATATTAAATATTTTACATTTGCTGTCCATGTAACTAAATGTTTCCTAGATGAGACATTGAAAATAAATGTCAATAGTCACTGTACCTGTTTGGCATCCAGTTAATTATGTAACTGCATGGTTTACATGCATTATTTCAAAAAGGGAATTGAACATAAAATTTATCAGTTCCCGGGAAGATATGTAAAACACTTGTTATAGAAATGAAAAGAAGACTAAAGGTTGAAAAACTTACTTATATAAACCAGTACTTTGTTCCGTAATTCTGGGTCTATTGAACCGGGCTTAAAACACAGGTGAACTGACAACCTGTCTCCTTTGACGAATTTTATGGACAACACGTTTCTTCTATTATTTTCCGACACTTGTAAAAATCGTTAATTCAATAGCTATAAGTACGTCTTTTATTATATTAATTCGAGCTTCTACACACATATTGTTGTAACAGATGTAGTGAATATTTTACTTGGATTAGAAATCGTGTTTATTACCGTTTTACTCATGTTTTCAAACTTCTGCGGTAATTACGTACTAGTGCTCCTTATCTTTTAAATAACGTTGCCATGGAAATTTCTCTCTGAAATGATGAGAAAACGTCTAGTTTTGTTATTTTGATTTTTACAAAGAAGTCTGCGTTTAAGTATACCTCTGTAAATGAAGACTTCTGCCAGATATATTGCTTTCGTTTGATTTACACATGCGTCAAGCCTTTTTAGTCTGGAATATTTTGTGCGTGAAAAAGTTTTCCACCTCTGTAAAACGAAAATCTGTGACAAACAAGCAATTGCCATTAAATGTGCTTTATTGGCTCTATATTAGAAGAAAACAAATAGACCTAGTAATATTTAAAAGTAACATCAAAAGGATATGGACATTTTACGTACCTGTATCATTGGATAGCAGTTGTTAAATGCTGGGACTTGTTTACTTTTTGTTGTCATGTTTACTAATGACTAAAAATATATGACTGGTCTTTTATCGGCAAAATTTAACTTTTCGCCCGCCGCACCAACCTTTATAGTTCTCTAATCAGATCAAGAATTCACCTGAAAATTACGAGGGAGTATCAAGGAAGGGTATACAAACGGAGAGCTGTAGTTAAAACTTCTTAACAGAAGGAGGAGTTAAGCGCATTCTCTGTGTGTCAACGGAAGATTATATTCATTTAACCTCAACCAACGTGACAAACTCTCTACATTTAACTGTCAACAAAACTTCCAAATTCTTGCAGCATTGGAAAAGTGGCATCCTCTTTCTCCTCGGCCACTTTAGTGTATCGATAACGCACCTCCCTCCCCTGTTCTCCTGTTGCAGCGTTGTCGGAGTGTTTGTGTTCTACTAACCTCATATTGTATCGTATTGCCGAGGTGTTAGGATGGAGTTTTGAATATTCACAATGCTTGGATCTCGTTGTTCTAATATAATATGCGACACGGGCGATGTCTCGGATTCGGTAGGTATCACTTTGATATAAAAGAAAATGTTCTCATTATAATAGTTATTCCCAGCAGAATCTCTCAATCCGATCACGTGTTCAGCAGAATTTGATTATAACGCGAGCTGATACAATCAGGTGGTTTCCTCAACTTGGCCATTTTTTTCATATCGACCAATTCTTTTATTGAGTTTTCTGTTTTTGGTCTTCAAGAGTTTTGAAGGATATTTTTCCTTTCCTCTCAAGAGAGGAACAATAACACACTTGAAGTCAATATTGGTGATATTTCAAAGACAATTATCCCGCAGTCTGTGCTATCGGCATCGTATGTGGTAACTAGTGCTTGCTGCCTGAGACGATATTAGTCAATATTCTCTCTAAAACAGTGTTCTGTTTCTGTGAAAATTGCAAATTAATTTGGTAAAAGTTTCCGATGTTGTAGAAAGTGGTTATATGGGAATTCTATATTGCTCTCTGTGATCTTGGTAGAACCAGCAAAATTGAAAACCAATGCTTTGGGGAGGATTGTATTGATATGAAAAGTTCGCACGATATCTTGATCAGAAAATAAAACAAACACTCTTCTATTGGTTGCATTTCATTCTTTTGAGTCCTACTGTACCGAGTTTTTACCTTCTCCTTTATAGCATTTCTGTGAGACTGGACGCAGATGTTTCAGGAAAATTTTACATCAACTTTTTTATGTGTATCGGAAATCTTTATTTTAACCAATTTGGTGCTGGTCTTTGGACAAGGAACGTCAAAGCTGCCCAATAATTGCTTAGTTTAGGAGGGTTCAAATTTCAAAGTCTTGGAGAAATATTTCTCTTTCAGTCTTATCCATAATTATTACCAAGGTGACGAAAAGGCGTTAATTAAATCGATTTTTTCTGCAAAAATTCTTGGAAGAAGGGAAATTCTAAAATGAAGATGGATGGAGAGATGGATTTAAGCCGTTTATATATTTTTGAAATCTCCATCTGGGACGGGTTTTGAGCACTAATTAAGACTGGCTAGTACTCATCGATCGAAGAGGCCTGGCTTTCTGAGACATTGTATCGAACGCTTTCGGGGAAAAACAGCACCAAGATTTGTGTGAGTTAAGACTGATTTCTTTGGACCCCGGCACGCAGCGCAGATCAATGGCGGAAGAACTGCTCGAGATAATTTGCCGTTTGAAAAGTATACAATTATTCACGGTGATTGTTCCGATTTAAAGAGAACTTGTGAAGGACTCGTTCTTTATTCTTTTTAACGATGTTATTTCTAGCTATTGAAAAAAATGCTACCATCTGACATGCGCATACGTTTGTTAAACAATTATCCAAATATTGTGTATTGAGTTTGTAGATGATAGTTTATAGTTTGTTATGGGATATGAGGAATTTATGTTGATATTTGCGTAACATTTGGAAGCCGTATGTGCAGTTAACAGTCACATTAGGACAGAGTTTAAATTGAGGAAAATATCAGCTGATTTGGATGTAATTTTCTTTGTGTGTTTTTGGATTATTAAGAATGTCCATCAGTAATTGTGGACAGGTCATCTGCCACACCCCATATACTGTTGTAAGTATACTCCAAAGGACTTTCCCCCCGTGTCAAAGTGAAGGGGTTTTCCCCTTTCCGCATATTCATGGTTTTCTGAATTGGGGTTGTCTTCTGTAATTGATTCGATTTACCTCGATTAATTTCCTGTTAAATTCATGTTGAAGAATATAAATGAGATTATTACAATTCTAAGGTGGAATTCAAATGCCATATAAAAGTCGTGGATTTTTCCGAATTACCTCCTCAACATTAATTGACTTTGTTCCGCTCAAGTGTTTTTGTAGCTGTAGAAGTGTACTTGGATAACAAGAAAAATGATACAAGGGTTTTCAAATGTCAGAATTGATTACATCCACAAAACGAGCATTTGTCTTCCTCTGGTTTCAAAATCTCTCTCTGTCTCTCTCTGTTTGTCTCTCTCTCTCTCTCTCTCTCTCTCTCTCTCTCTCTCTCTCTCTCTCTCTCTCTCTCTCTCTCTCTTAATTAAGTACATTAACACTGTGTGAATTCTTTATACCTTGGTTTAGAAGTAAGGTGTACTTCAAGATCTTATTTGGTTTACATACATTTTAATATTCTTAAATTTGAATGCAAGATGTTTGAGTCGGATTTCAGCAGTAAATTACCCACTTCATAAGTAGACAATTTCGGTGCCTACCTGTATTATGTTTTTGACGAAGATTGAATTACTTGTAGAAATGTAAATATGGCCTTTTGTGTCCGTACAGTTCTTGACACAGGGCCTCATTACAGTTCTCTTACCGAATTGTCGTACATGGAATTGTTAAGTTAAAATACGAGATCGGCTACTATTTGTAAGTTCTGTAGCTTTATTTGAAAATTAAATACCCCGACACTAATTGTGAGTCAATATTAGCTCGGGTAGGAGAAATCACACACCCGGGTTCCAATTAAGCATAGAAATTCCTCCATTAAACCAATATTCATATTAAATGTTTTCCTTGTCAACAGAATTAAGACATGTCGTCGTTGAAATAATTTCGATTTCTTCACTGTTCTACATCCAATATTGATATAAAAAGTAGAAAAAGGAAATATTGGAACAGATTAAATGTCTCTATTAGTTCCACAGATGAGCTGGAAAAACTACATGTACAGACTTTAAGTTTGGGACTTGCTATTTTAATGTCTTCATTTTTACATGTATATACTAGTACATATTAAACCTGGTTCTACTGTTTGAGAGATCCTTTTAATTTTTTTTTTAGATTTATTGATAAAACTATTATTTAAAACATTTAAAAAGAGACAGTATTGATTTTTTTCATTGGAAACAAACCTTTAAACTTTTTAACTATTTGCAAATTAGTTTTATCGAAAATAAACAGATGAAAAAGAATTTGTTATTACTTCAGTAATCTGTTCTCTTTAAAATGTATATAGAATAAATCTTATCCGCATGATCGAACGAAAGATAAAAAATATTTGGGAAAAAAATCTGTAACAATTGGAGAAAAATCCTGGTCTTCGTCTTTAATGATCTGACTCATTAGCCCAACCAGCAGAAAGCATCGCTGTATTTTAACAAAACCACAAAAGGTTTAAGCCGATAAGTAAGATAAAAAAGGCAGCGTTTTGTCGAAAAATTGTTCAAGTTTAAACAAATTCGTTGGTCCACGTGCTAAAAATTCCTAAAATTGTGTTTTAAGATTGAGTAGTCAAGATGGTGGGAGCTCTTGAATAAAGTCGAATTTATCTTGTTTAAATTCTATAAATATGATTTTTGTCAGATATTAATAAATTTTTTCTTTTTCTTTCAGTTTGGGACAAATGCCGGGAAGACCTCGTCAAAATGTTCTAAGAGTACCAGTTATTGCCCGTCAGGTAAGTACTTATATTTTTTTCATCTTTATCGAAATTCTCATGCAGAAATTGATTAAAAGTATACATTCATTATTTAGTAAAAGGTAATTAACAGCGTGAAGTCAGCCATAGAATTCACTTTGAATATTAAAAATCGATGGAATACTAATTTAATTATTTATTTCAACATTTCACAAAATGTCCTTTATATCGCTCTCTCGAATTAAAACCAGCTTCATAAATTTGTCCCTAAACGAGGAACGCAACATTTGCATTATAAATGAATATTTCTCGGCTCAAAAGCAGGGATATATCAAAACCACTCTCTGATTCTCATAAAAAAGGCTATGTATGCATGATATCGCCAATAAAAAACGGAAAGTTTCAGTAAAACTAACAAATCTGTCTCCGCAGAAAGCGGAAGGCTTAATCTTGGAAATGACTTCTAAGAGCTGGAAAAGACAGATATATCACCGCGCAATGTAAACCGGAAAAATCAATAGCAGGGCCCCGTTTGTTTCTCTTGCAATGTCAGTTTCATTATTCCGTAATGAACGACCGGAGCTAATTTCCAATATCTATTTTTCCTGAGTCCAAGAAGCGGAATGCAATGATCACGGCAATTAAACTTCTCCTACAGACGATCTCAAGGAGCGGCCATCTTTGATAGTTTCTACGATGAAATACTCTTGACATTGGAGAATATTAATTGAAACATGTTTAATTGATACAGGAAGGGGCGATGTAGCATGCATTTCTATCAATTTTGTTGTATAGAAATTCTCAATAAGCCGGATTATTAAGTTAATTAGTTTCATTGGGGATTGGGTGTACTATAAAGGGAGAGATGTTCAGAATTGAGCGATTTCTGTATTTGTTAATCAACATTTTATTTTTATTGAAGGATTACTATTATCATGTTTAAATGAAAACGAGGTTCCACATACGCCAATTCTGTATAGTGTCCATTGTAATGAATCCATCAGTGAATTTGATCAATATCTAGGATACAGAATGTAACATCTGTTTTTTATACCTTTAAAAATTAGTTTAAACCATATTTCATTTGAAAATGACAAGCAGAAAATACAGGCACGAAGTACAAAAATCAAAAAGGATTCAGAAACAAGTTTTAAAAACTTTTACTGAATTTAATATTAAGTTGACACCCTTATTAGATACAGATGTAGATACAAACACGGTTTTAAGCTGCTTAAAACATGTTCAAAAATTTGTTCCTATACAGATCCATACGAAAAAAGGATATAATTTCTAATGTTTTTTTTACTTCGAGGTCATTCAGAAGTATAATGTTACAATTCTAGAATTTGACTGAGTTCCGTTAAAATGTAGGTCTGTTAAAATGCACTTGTTCAAGTTGTTTTGTTTCGTAGCAAATTAGTTATATATTTTTAGAACTTTTGAGGATCCTTTTGATAAAAATCTGTTAGCGGAGAGTGCACCACGATTCCGCACCTTTCGTCTTCCATAGTTTAGTGCTTTTGATGTATAAGCACTTTGCAACGTGTAACTAAGATATTTTATAATGAAAGATTAAATCTATTGAGACATCAGTTGGTGAGGAAACATCAAATGAGCTTGTAGATGTTGGCTTCAGAGAAAGTAAGGTGTACATGTGTAGCTTGAAAAACGAACAATTTTTTATCTGAAGAAAAAAATCTAGAATTTGGCTAAGATAAGCTGACCCCGCCCACCCATGTTGTCAGGCTCTTGACCGTCTAGGAGAGTTTTTAGACAATGGACAGGAAGTGACGTGTAAACACCAAAGATTAGACCGACTTAGGCTTAGCTGTTTTCTGTGGTCAAAAATAAAAGCCTTGGAAGATTTTAACAATAGAGTATTAGATTTAAAAGTGTCCAAAACGGGGGAAATAAAAACATTGTTCTCAATTATTTAAAATTCTTGTGTTTAGTTTAAATTTGTGAAAGTTCAACTCTTAATCCGTATCAAGTGATCTCTTTGGTGAAAAATAACTTGGAATATGTCTGTATGAATAATATAAACCTTATATAGGTTTTTAAAGATTTTTTTTTATTCACCCCTAACCTTGTTCATACCACAGGGGCTTGTCACGAAATATTTATCTTCTTTTAATATAGTTACCCCAACTATAAAAATACATATTTTATAGTCGGGGTAACTATATTAAAAGAAGATAAATATGACAAGCCCCTGTGGTTCATACATAAATAGATACTGGAGTATTACAAATTAATACCAAAAACTTGCATGTGATTGTCATATCTTTTTTCTTAATAAAAAAAAAGGACTCCAAATTCCTAACTCACACTTGTTATGAAACCTATAAATGTATGAAATATATGGAGATAACGAACAGTATTTAAGCTCAAAAGTCCATAAAACAGTACTAAATAGGAGCGGAGCAAACACGGACCTCCAAAACATAAGAGGTGGGATCAGGTGGCATGGAGGAGTGAGCATCCCCTGCAGACCAGTCACGTCCGCTATGTTCTCCTTGTCATGATGCAGAAAAAAGGGAAAAATTCATCGTCAATTCAGTGCCTAACAATAAGTAACGTCAGTCAGCATTTGATTCAAAGAAATTGTCTGTATTTACTGACAGGGTCATTGTATCGACCATAGAACTTACGAATTGATGAATTTAAACGAAATGGATATATTATAAAAGGAAATTGATAGATTATTGGAGTATAACGCTAATATATCTCCACCACCTTACAGTATGTAAAATGTTAAAGTAAAATCAGTAAATAAATCCGGAATTATTGTGATATCAACTAAATCTCGCCTCTTTTGTAGGTCACTACTATGAGACCTGTCCCCAGGACAAAGGTGCACGCTGTGTCCAGTGTGACTCTAAGTCCTACCAGCCGGACAGAAATGGACCACTGGACAAATGTAAAGCAAAGTAGGTCATCTTTATATTCTTGGAAGTTTACAATATGATGCTCAGACAGTTTTGGATCTTTTTTCATCTACGAATATTACCATGTAACCTCTTTGTTTGAGATCTAACCACTTGGTGATGAGAGCATTTGATTTTTTGTCCAATATTTACAGGACTACATGTGACCGACAGAACATGGAGTATGCTGATCAGGGCAGTGCACTGAGGGACGCTAAATGTCGGTGTGCCCCCGGGTATCACTTCCTGAATACAGACCAAACCCACTGTGTCCCCAACAACGTGTGTCCAGTGGGCTGGGGACAAACAGATTATGGTACACAAAACTTTTCTTATCACCCAGTTCTTTATTATGTTTGAAATTTGGAAGACTTTTTAATTTAAGTTTCACATAAACTTAACTTTTGTTTTAATTTTAGGCTCGTGTGAAGATTGTCACAAACGCAATATGTACTCAGACAAGGCAGATAAAGTCCAAAGATGTCAAGTGCTTCGAAAGTAAGTAGCCTTTTATTGAATTATACAATCGAAGTATTGGAGAATGAGACTGTCTGATAACCATTCCCAGGAAGGTCTACAAGATTAATTCTGTCTTTTATTTCAGCTGTGAGAAGGAAAACCGTTGTACTAAACGAAGGAGTAATGGGACTTTCAATAATGAATGTGATCAACCAACAAAAGGTTAGTTACATGAATTCATCTTATGAAAAATTAATTTGAATTATGCAGCAAAATCGCCTCGTTTCACAATTTTCTTTACTCCTACATTGTGATACTATTGCATCTCATTTATTCAATTTTGCAGATATATCTAACTGTACAAACCCAGGACCTGCGACTGGTTCACATAGGGCGCTACAGTCGTCAGCATCAGCTCCAATATACGCAGGCGCAGCAGTCGGTGCCATCATTTTCCTTGTCTTGATCTTCTTTCTTGTAATGTTCTTGCTATGGAAACGACGTCGTGCGCAGTCGAAGGACGACGCACTTTCCAGGGACCAGATAGATAGCCTGTTGGAAAGAATAGTAACACGTTCAGAGGGCGACGAGTCTTACAGCAGGAAAGGTAACTTGGGATCACTATCTGGCGAAAAAATCCAAAATAAATTATATTCACACTATGTTTAAAGAAGAGAGAGAGTTTGAACATGAATTTTTAGTATTTTTTACATTATTTCAGTTATTGCTGCCTCCTTCCGCGAGATTGAAGACAGAATAGACCGTCAGATCTGGAAACTCCCTCAAGAGTTATTCAGGGAACACATGCAGCCCGCTATGTACGAGGTCATTGTTGAAAAATACAAAGGTAATACTGACAAAACTTGTACTTACTGTTTCTAGCTGTATTCTTTTGTCATTTATTTCTATATTATTCGCCATTTATCAAGCACACATAAAAATATTTATTTAACAATATTCAGAAAAGGACCACAAGTACGCCATCAATGGGTACCTTCAGGATTGGCGAGAATGGAAGGGAGAGAACTCGGAGGCCATCAGTCACCTCTTTAAATGTCTCAGGCTGGTGGAGAGGGAGGACATTGTGTATGAAATCTGCAATAAATTCAGAGAAGGTAAAGCAATTTACATGACATTTGTGTTATTTGAATTGATTTTACGAGAAACTTATTTTAGATAAATTCCAGTTAACTGTTTATATGTTCGAAGCCAAAGTACATTGTTCCAAAAACAAAGCACTTGTGAGATTTAGCATGAGAAACTCAGCTTAATATCTCAAAACATCATGGTAAGAATGGTTGGGGATGTGATCAATCTATAATAATTTTGACCTTGAAATTTCCAAATTGCTTTTAGGGTACCCCGAGGTTGTCATGGACGCGGAAGTCAAGTTGGACAACGGAATCGTCAAGAAGAGAAGTCAAAAAATCACATTTAAAGAATATCTTAAAGAAACACTGTGTTGCTGTCCATCTAAACGTAAACGTTATACAGAGAAGGATGAACCTAAGGAAACACAAGATTCTTTACTTGACGCAAAAACAAAGGAAGCGGAAGTTTGCGAAAAAGAGAAGATGGAAGAATCCGATGACGTCCTGCCGATGTCCCCTTCAGAAGCCGGTGCTATTTATAGAGAACGACCAAGCCCCAGTGCCCCTGTCATTGATGATGCAGGAAACGTGCATGTCATAATTCCCATGAACAGAGCTTATTCATTTCCGGTTCAAGCAAGCTCATGATTACGTTGTATGAAACAGAGACAACGTGCAATTTACAGCATCAAATGCTTTAATGTGCAATGATCACTGCATTCCGAGTTCAGTAGGAATACACAGGTGTTCATAGTGGTTGAATATTATGGATTTTGAACAATAGTTGGGCGAATTATGTCTTTCATTCAAAATGAAAGCAGCCCTGTTTCTTGAAAGCTCGAAAAGACTTTCTTATAAGAACAAACTGTACATTACGTTTAATATGTGTAAATGAACTCTGCGTTCAGTACATTAACTTTCATGAAGTGATTTTCATTTAAATGTTGTTGCTTTTAAGTTGTTGTGTGAATGGCTTTATCTTAAACTGACAACGAGACCTCGTGTATGACGTCATCAGAGCCTATAAGTATTCAAACAAATCGAGTACTTAACTACATGTAGCTTATGTAATTTTATCATGGCGTGATGGCTTTTTCGACATCGACGCTTCGGTATCATTATTATCGAAATAATTCTTGATAAGAAACTTAATTATAGTAATAATCGTATTAGATTCTGGTATGGAATTATAAATGATGAACGGTGCACGCCATTTTATTGCCATAGTAACGATTTATCAGTAACTGATATGAAGCTATTTACTTCATGGTGTCTCATTAAGTTGTGTTAAAATCTTAATCAAAGCTTTGTCATCGGGTTATCTATTACAATTTACATCAATAAGGCACGGAAACTCACGTCAAGTTCTTCTAAAACGGAATCAGTCCCAGCCTTATAGCTTAAGATAACATCCAAATGGAAAAATAAATGTGATGATATGGAATATTATGAAACCAATATCAAGTGCATCGATTTCAAAAAAATGTTTTATCAATTATTGTCGAAGTTATCGGAACAGTTTTCCATACATTCATCTCAAATTATCGAACACGAATAGACAATATTATGTCACTTCTAAACGCTTGTCACGTTGGCTGTTGTAAGTTAGTGCCCCTCGGTATATGAAAGAAAGCAATTTACAATATGATCAATTTATTGACTTAACATGTATGTTTTTTATTAACATAATCAAAGGCATTTATTGAATAAATTCTAATAGCGAAATAAAATGTATTTTGATATGCTAATTGTTTTGATTTTTTATTATCATCAAGTACATTTGGGTAGCTTCAGGTCTGTAGCTCAATGGTCTGAAAAAGAGTCCAGATAAAAATGCCATTGCTAATTTTTAATAGTAGACAGATTGTAAAGGTTTATAAGTGTAATAACTTTAGGAACTGAATCAAATTTGAGCTAAAATAAGAAATAAAAATATACTGCGTATATTACAAAAATACAAAACTTGTCAGATTATATGAGGCCTTGCTAGGTGTCCATTATCATACATTTATTAGAAAAGTGCAGCGGTGGATTTAGGAGAGTGAGGTGTCCTAAAAGTTTTAATGAAAAAGAATTTGATCTTTAGAATCCTTGATAAAAAAATATCTCGATAAACTTATGTGACGTTTGCGCTCCTCCGGGATTTGGCCCTGAAGTATATTACCATAAATAAGCATGAAATAACATTTGATACTTGTTTCACATATTGAAATAATTGTGAATAGAGGGATTTATGAAATGAAGGCCCTTTGAATTAAACATGCAGTTAGCTGTAATTAGTCTATTTAAAACTAAGATGAGTTTGTGTAACACTGATCTGTCTCTGTATTGCAGCTCATGGCCAAGGTTAAAGATTTTGTTAAAACTCTTTGCAAGGTCAAGATTATTACGTATAAAATGTCGGTACGCAATGAAAGGTCTTGTCGCAACGAATACACAACTGAAATATAAAGCCTCGTCCCCAACCTCTCAAAAATATGGGCAATGTATAATATTTTTCAATAGTAAATCAAACGCCAAGGTCATGGACATGAGGACAAAATGTTGGTAACATGTACATACAAAAAGATTTTGTCAAATAAGGAATACACGATTGAAATATAAAAGTCATGGCAGCAACGTAACCAAGTTATGGTGAAGTAAAAGTTTGGCTTTACAGTCAAACTTGTCATAGCGGTCACCTCTATCCAGCGGTCACTTGTCCTATGCGGTCATTTTATTTCCTCCCAATGAAATTTCCTATATAAAGTAACTCTATTTAGCGGTCACCTGCGTAACGTGGTCAGCGGTCACCTAATTTCAAACGAAATCGCCACTTTTCCCTGTCTTTAGCGGCCATTTTGTCCAATCACGTGGCCTGATTTGGAGTCAGCTGATTCCCAATTTTTGTTACTAATGTAAATAATCAGTCAAGTGTTGCGGGATCGTGAATAAAAATTAATAAATGGAGCAATTATTTTACTGGATAAGCATATTCAAGAATCATTTTACAAACTAACTGCTTCTATATTTTACCAAACTCGAACAACTATGCTTATGACGAAAAAAGTTAACAGGCAAAAAACGAATACTAGTCATGCTAGTATTATCGATAACTGATTATCAGGGTCTTATAACTTCTGGATTTTCAATTAAGTTTTAAAAAAGAACAACATATGAACTATATTAATCTATTAATGACTATGATATTTTTTGTTTACTATTGTAACCGGAAGTAGAACTCTTCAGTTTATAAATTACCAAAGTTACTAGCCAACTTGGCTGAAAGGAGTAAACTATCTCCAGTTATAAATGATCAACCCAGGTAAGGGGATTTCTGAACTATGGTCAACGCTAAATGAAAACACAGTTGTAAGTTTTATCAATTTAATAAAGTGAGAATTAACCGTTGTAAATGATAACAAATAATAAATAATGATCAAAATTTAACAAACAGAAAAGTCTTTGAAAATGGCACAGGATAAATAAAGCTTTAACAAAAATGTAATTTAATCTGAAAAATGAATCTCAATAATCTCAATGAATAATCTCAATAAATAAATAATTGAAAAAATGTAATGAAAAATGGGAGGAATGTGGCAAAACTATGAAAAATAATCTATGTCCCTACTGGGCTTCCATACTTATCAAAAAGGTGAAAAATCCTATAAAAATCAATGAGATGGAAAAATGAAAAGGGAATGAGCTACATCACCCAATATGACTACTATCAACACTCTAGAGTTAATCTGAAAATATCAATACTAATTCTAGGCTCTAAAAATAACTGACCCAGAAAATAAACAACACCCAAAAATAAATAATAAATAGTGGTTCTAGAAAATAAACCTGTTATCTACATATCCCTAGACCAGGCTGGACTTGGAAAGGGAAACTAAATTTACTTCAAATACCCTACATCCTAACTGTTTCCTAACATGTGAAAAACGTGAAACTAAATCTAAGCCAAAACCTAGAGAACTTGTTAAACCATAAGGTTTTCTTAGTCCACTAAGTATCTAATCAAATAGTGCTCATAAACCATAAGGTTTTCTTAGCACAGAAAAGAGGAACTAACCATGAGGCTGTGTTCCCCAACCCAAGTGAAGAAAACTACACGAACACGGGTTTAAATACCCTGACAAGGCCCAAAATAAAAGCCAATGACTATCAAAGATCCTTAAGCTAAATTAACCAATCAGAACGCAGGTATCAAAAGTACTACGGAAAGACTGCCAACATGGATGACACTTCCTGTTTAAAAAGTAAAACATGTGGAATGTCAACTCATGTCCTAACTTATAAAAGACAAATAATAAAGGACTTTTACGTAAGTAACAACTGAAAACAAATGGTAAATAGAATTATCAGACTGAAATACCAGCAAATACTTGTAAATTATGAATTACGAAACGATGGCTATGAAATAAAAATCTAAACCACTACACTATTTACAGTGTCGATATCGCGCCCAACTCTGCATGATCTGAAAGTTGTAAATGTATTACGCTTGATAAGCATTTTAATTTTCACACTTAGGAAATTTGATCATTTGTTGAAGCCATAATTACAGTTTATATACACATTGTGGCTTGGCTATGTTGTGAATTTCACATAGGAAACGACCGTTAGGGATTAGTAACGCTTCATTGCTCAGGACACCTGTGCACCTGTTGATCAACTGAGAGTACGTCTGAGAGTTTATTATACAACAAATCATGTACAGTTGTGTACATGTATTTAAAAAAATACATGTACACAGGTTAATTTTATGAATCAAGTTTAGATAAAATAATTTTTAACTGATTTTATTCATTCCATACACAAAGAAAAAAATTGTTTTGATGGGGGATAATGCAACACGCTGTAAGAGTAAGATTCAGTACACAGGTATTTTATTAAATTTTGGATTCATTAAATTTAGTTTGAATTCATCCATAAAAGTAATGCATCTCCTAAATAAAAAAAAATGATAATTTAAGTGAGATCACTAATGTCCAATACCTAACTTTCTTGTATATTTTGTGGTGAAAAACATAATATAAACACAAAACTGACACATTAAATTTGTAAATAAATTCTTTTTAAAAAAGATGAACCTCTTTTCAAAGGTCACCTCTCTATAAAGGTCACTTTTGATGGATCCCATAGGTGACTGCTTAATACAAGTTTCACTGTATTTCTTTTTATTTTTTGGTTGACAAAAGGATGTCAAACTTCAATGTCAAAGTCAGGAGGACAAACATTTTGGAACACAAAAAAGGTCTAGACACAAGCAATATACAGATGAAAAACGATAGCTGTAGCAACACCCGCTTAAAAGTTAAGAAGACCCGAGATTAAAAATTAATTTTGTTTATAAATAGACAGCTAGACAGACAGTGGTTCTAACAAAAAACTTCACGTCAACGATTCTCCAGTAAAAGGGAGATACATGTAGGATGAGATGAATTTAAAAATCTTAAAGGATTACTAGTACATGTACATGTATGTCCTCATAGAGAAAGGGAAACCTTGTCGAACATCCGATGCAATTTCCAGACCTGAGGTTAACGATTCTAATGTGGGAGTCACATTAAAAAATATCACAAATAAATTATTCATTATTGTTAACTCTAAACTTTTTGAACAATGAAATATCCATTTCCTTCAGTTATCGTTTAGATTAATATTTGGATGAAAACAGACTGACCCCTAAAAATATACCGGTACGAAGATTTAACCAAATACAAAGGGATTGGGCACAAGTTCTAAATAAGTTTTTAGAACTTGTGCCCAATCCCTTTGTAATTAGAAATTACAATGAAATATGTTCAAACATTGTACATTTTTGGGCAATAAAAATGCATATGATTCTTATAAGCTTCTCATATCGATACATTTCACAAATTTATAAGAACTGAAAATGTACGTTCTTAATTGTGCTGCTTGTTTTTAATATCTAAGCACGAAATTCAGGAAAGTCACTCTATGTTCATTAAAAAATATTATCATGTAATTGCAAAATTGTCAAATTTCTCAGAGGGTATTTTGCCCTAAAAGAAAAAAAACCTTGCCATCGTAAAAATGTATGATGAGTATGAGGAGAATAATCTGAAGAGAAAGGATAAATTTAATGAAAATTCATTTTAGCATAGTTGATATAAATCTCTGTTTTCTTTCACTTGAGATAAACATCTTCAATGATAAATAGTGCGGGTGTCTGAAACTCTGTATGGACTGATATTTATAAGGACTTCAGATTTCTTCACCTTGTCACCTGAAAACCTAAAGACCCACAATAAAGATTCAAAACACTCTAAGTGTGACCCCGATGCGTAGCGTCCTGGCATTTTTCTAGATGTTATCACATATATTAAATGAATAATGCACCATTTTCTCTTTCAGACTGACCCCATCCTAGTTGTGGGGCCAATTTTATTTGGTCATGTTAATTTGAAAACTGTACATAAAAAATAAAACATGAAAGAAATCCAATATTCCATAAGATTCGTTACCATGATAAAATGAAATGACAACACATAGCGGCTTCAGATTTCACTATAAAATATTTATCGCAAAAATCTTGTTTCTTTAGCTTTAATCCACCCCAGACCAAAGAGGGCATTGTGACCGTTTTTTAACGTAAATGTTTCCAAATCAACAAATTTTCTGATCTATGTACTTCAACAGAATACGTATTTTATTAAAACACCCGAACTTTTGTTTCTGGTAGGCACATTAATTAGGGAAATTGAAGGTACTTTTAGCATAAAATGATGGAGGGACC